CCACAACATTATGGGTAACGAGGAATTACTTAACATACTCCTAACCAATTCCATAAGAGTACGATTACGCCTTACAGCTACTCGCTTCTACTGTGGCATATATAACAAAGTGTATTGAACACAAATGGCATACATTTCAAGGAGTTTAACAAACGGTTAGAGTATTAACCTGTTTCATCATACTTTACATAATATTCACCACCTCTATATGACCTTATGATTTTCACTTTCTATCTAGTTGTTTTTCAATCTCATTTATGTATACTTCAAGAGTACCCACTATTTGAGATTTTTCATTCAACAAATAAATATATCCACAACGTGAAAAATCAACTATAAAGGCGATAAAATACTTTTCTCCTCCAAAAAATGGAACGTTAAAAGGTCTACAAATATCTGTATGAATAATTTCAAGAAGCTATTTACTTATTGTGGCTCATTTCTTTGTGTGTTTGATTTGTTTACCTTTAATACAATCTACACACACATCAAAATCAATAAAGTTTAGATTTAGAAGAATCACATCTTTTACTAATTTTCCTAACTTTTTACTAGATATTGACCTAGTCTTTTATGCCAAAGATAAATTTTCTATTAATTGAGTTACGCTTAATTCTAACATTATGATACAAGATCAAAAGGATTTTAATAAATAAACCATCAAATTTGAATTTACAGAAATCATCAACAATAATACCATAACTCACAAATTATAATTTCTTAAATAAATATCATTACCAAATTTAAATGAAAAACCATTAACATAAAGTTTTTGAAATAAAATCAAATTTTGGGAAATTGAATAAACATAAAAAATTTAAAATAATTTAAATAAAATCCATTGTCTAACATTAAACATAGTGTCACAATGGTTTCAACAAAACTTTTTCCCAATTATCATAAATAAGAAATTCTTATTTGAATTTGTGGTTTAGGTCATAAAAAATTCTTGCATCTATTAGAAACATAAATATTAGTACTTAAGTCAACCTATCATGTATTAAAAAGAATTTCAACAAGTAATTCGCAATATACAAAAGCCAAAAGCGTACTTTTTTTTTTCGAATCATTCTTTATATATATGTCATGTAATATTTCTAAAAGTGTTCAATACATTAATGACACTTTTTCATTATTACATTACTTTCTTTTAGTAGATTGACCTAAATTTTTTAATTTTGGGTGTTGCTCACTTATTGCCTTTTTTGACTTATTTCCAAATTTTTTTCTAACTTCTTGAATCATCAGATGAACATAATGATTACCTTGCTACTTAAGTTTTGTCTCCTCGTAAATTAACATAATGGTCAATTAAATCACTTTCCACTTGTCTTAATAGTGCTAATTCGAAATGACCCATACTGAATAGACAATAAATTGAGAATAAATTGAATAAGAAAATTCTTTTCCACAATTATCCATAAGGTTCTCAATTTGGTAGCAACATTAGTCATCCTAAGAACATACACATACATGGTAGTTATATCAATTAATAATTTTCGTTTTAGATATTTATCTACAACACGAAAACATTCTTATAATCAAATATTCCTTAGCACTATCACTATGAGGAACAATTATTCGCATAACCATAATACTTAATCTGTTCGATCTCTCCCAAGCTTTATGGAGAATCTTTTCTTCCTCACTGTTTTTATCAGTAATAACAGTAAGTTTCTCAATTTAAAATATTAAATTAAGATTTAACACATCTAAATTTTGAACTCAACTTACTCATTTCATTATGAGAAGTTAGTCATATTGAGAATCAGAACAGATGTAGCATGCGTATTAAGTGATGTAATAAAACAAATATAATAAGATAAAATCTTAACAACAATAATGCTTTGAGTTAACAATACGTATGTATAACTTAAAAATATAAATACAATATATAACTATAGTACCCCTTTGGGTGGCAACTATAAAATACTAATAATGATGCTTACATGTATTTATATGTATACATTTATTGGTGATGCATTATTTAATTAAACAAATAAGTTACCTTTGGATATCCTATATTTACCTAATTAAAAAAAAAAAAATACATACGACCCTTTAATTTTTATTTAATCACTTGAAAATCAATTCCCTTTGAGGAATTATTTATCATAATTAAATAAAATCAATATTCATGAATATCACAAAAAATTATAAGCATCATAATTCATGAAATATTGCAATTATGTTTACTATTAAAATTAATATTCATCAACTATTATGGTTAGGCCACTTTGGTAGCTACCAACCTTTACATAATATGAATATTAAATTAGATAGTAACTAATTTATGATTAATTATGTCTATTACAAAAATTAATATTCATCAATCATTATGATTGGGCTACTTTAGTAGCTACCAATCTTCACAAATATGAATATTAAATTAAACAGTAATTAAGTCATCATTAAGTTATATTTACTACTAAAATTAATATTCATCGACCATTATAGTTAGGCCACTTTGGTAGCTACTAACCCACACATAATATGAATATTAAATTAATTAGTAATTAATTATTTATTAATTTACCCATTTAATATTATACACACATATTCATAATTGTCGATTAAAGTTTAAGCAACTTCGATCTCAAAAACTTAATAGTCCGAAATTTCATAGAAAATATCTTTTTATTTTATATACACAATAAAATATATTATTTTATTTTCGGACTTAAAGATCATAATTGAATCAATTTAAAATTGATTCTACAATATGTATGTATGTTTGGGTACGAAACAACAAGTTATTTGCATGTCTAATTTATTAGATTAAATTTCTAAACTCACAAATTATTCTAGAAATTCAAATTCCTAAAATAAATAAATAAATACATATATTTTATGTATTCAATAACTTTAATTTTAATTTATTTTAAATTAAAATCAGAATCTTCAAATCATTGGACAAATACTTATAACAATAATTTAAACCTCTTTAATAAAATAAATAAATACTTTAACTTTATGTATTTATTAATTTTTAAATAATAATAATAACGAGTCTTTGTAATCCTTTCACAACTGAATAATCTAAACATACAATTCTAAAAGAATGGATTATACAATCATTTAATTTTAAATTTATACATATTATTTATGCAGCTTTAATGAAAAATAATGAGTTCCTAAACCGTTAGCTCTGATACCACATGTAAACTATAATAATTCGTGTTAAGCCATTAATCACAAATTTACATGAATCCCATATCTTAGAACTTCATGATTTTCACATATCTATAATGCATAAATAAATACTAGTTAGATATAAATATCTCGATTCACGATATCAATTCTTGTTGAGATTAAATCCAACGTCCAGATCCTTTGGCCACGAACTAATCTGCAACTCTGATCAACAGGCAAAGTGGAAACTGGTTTCTCTCTCTTGGCCTCTTGCACACATAAAACTTTTACGTGTTGTATCATTAATTGTACATAATTGATGGAGTATATGCACTTTTATAAAGGCAGAGAGAGGACCAGTTTTTCTTAGAGTAACATAATCTACTTTCCATCAAAGTAAGGAATAAGAAAGGAAAACACTTCTCCAATAAGTAATTACCAAAAAGGTAATTATAAGTTGACCAAAAATAAATAATATTAATTGATATCTATTTACTTACCCACCAAATAATATGTCACATGTCCAAATCATGTGGGCCACAATTAAATAAATAATCTTACATTAATTGTAGTTGTTTAGCAAAACTGAAAACACAAAAAAGTTAACCAAATATAAAATTTGACAAATGCAATATTTACTCTTTTTTTAAGTCAATATTTCTTATGACATGTTTCATATTCTTTTTTTCACTCAATGTTCGTGAAAGATTTCTTCATTGGGTAGCAATTTGACACTGAAATACAATATCACAGAACCTGATTGCAAAACCAATGGAACTTTCACTTGGCGAAAGGAAAAGAAAATTACAATTTTGACCATTTGTGTTACCTTTGTGTGAGAGCATTATTGTAGAATGGACAACTTTTTCTGTATGTGACTGTGGATATATATCACCAAAAGATGGTTCAATATGGTTCTAAACGTCAGTTATAAATGATTTGAATCCGGTGCATATATCACCAAAAGATGCATCTGCTTGTGGAAATTTGAAGCAGAGGGAATGGTAGATAAAGGGCAACCTAATTGAATGTGTATTTTCTTGAAGATTATTGTTTTTAGGAAAATAATAATCGCACAGTTGAGATAATTAAGCCTAACATTTCAACTAGAATGCTCGGTTAAGGGTTTTATTTTATTTTATTTATTTTATTTTTATATTTATTTTTTTCGGAATGGTTAAGCACTGTATTGTATTTATGTATAGGAAAATGTACAAGGCAAAGGGCAACCTGATGGATATTTTTTTTTCTTTCAAAGTTTTTTCATTTTTTTTTTTTACAAAAAAATAAATTATTTTATCATGTGTTAATGTGCCCTTAGAATCAAATTTTTGGCTCCATGTACATGATAGTCGGAAGTGTGATTAATGAGGACGTCTAAAACCTAAGAGAGTAATTATGATGATTTTGTAGGCGGATGCCAGAAGCAATATCAGACTACCACATTAAAATGAGCTAAATGCGCACATTCCTACATTGACAGGTTTTGAAGAGGGGAAATACTTCGATGATATTTCCAAATGGTTCTAGCCCCATTCGTATAAAACTCAATCACAAAATCATGTGTGCTCTAGCCCAATATATGTGTTGGAGCGGACAGTCACAATTGTATCTTTATTTATAATAAAATTAGATGGTGAGTATTAATTTTTTATCTTTTTTTGGTTTATAGATGAAGAATTTCATGAACTTTTTTTATTAAAAAAAATTACTGTACTTAATGTTGAAAAATAAGTTTTCCTTATCATTTATGAATTAAATACAAAACATATATATAGATCCTAATTTTGAACAAGTAATGCGCTCTCTCGGTAAAGAGTCGTAAATTTTTTTACAAATAAATCACTAATATATAGTATCACATCGAGATGGTCTATTTAACCTAGCTCTTTCTAACACCCTTCATAGCCTCCTCCTCAACCGACACCTCTGATGAACTAACAGCTGTAAACATCTCGGTCTTCTTTTAGGGTTTGTTTCCAATGAGGGGCTGTTTCCTCCCTCTTTCTTTTGGCTATATTATCAACAATGCAGAGGCTTTTTGGGTGGCCAACTGCTACTAATCGGGTGAACGTCGTATAAACGGAGGAAGATAAACAGGATCGACGGAAAACTGGTCGGGAACGGATAGTTGAAAGGAATCGGCGGCTAGGGTTTTACTCCAAATCAGGTAGATGTAACATCCAAACCCTATACGTTCGAAATGATGCTATTCTACTATTATACTATAGTTTGTATAGAAAACTCCAAAGGGATTGCTTGTGTATTCCTAGAGACGGTGGATAGAGTTTTGATGCACAGACTGTTTTGTTTCCATAAATTTTCCATTTCATTTTCTATTCTGTTCTTTGCTTTGCTTTGCTTTTCTGGCCCTTACATTGATTTTACTGGAAACTTTGTTTGGTTAAAACTGTTGAGACTGAAAAAACATCGTGATTTTGGTTGAAGACATGTATCCTTAAGAAATAGGTCAGGAGTTTCGGTTTAAGTATCATTTTCTTAAAAAAACAACAGAAAAGGAAAAAATCATGTATCTTATTAGCATTTAACAATCCAGGTCATTCTTTGGGTGGGATCTGCCAGAACTGATTCCGAATTCGGTCCAAACATCAGCGGCCTTTTGTTTGGGGTTTCAAATCCAAAAGTTATAATCTTTAGCGAGAGAGAGGGGTCATTGGGGCGGGTACGGGTCGTTTTACCTGTTTATATGATATATTGATGTGCTTTATAAATTGGGACCTGGACCATTTTGGTTGGTTTTGCAGCCGGTTGACAGGTCTGGCTGGTTTTGTTTATAAGCAGATCCTAAGGGGAATATTGTTTTTCCCCTCTCGGATCCATTATTCCTGCCTAACTTCGTTTTATCGAATGTTCCCCCGATGGGACAACTTGTTCCAAACCCGAACCACTAATATTAGAGCGAAGAGGCGGACAAGTTACATTATTAGGAGTGCACAAAAATATTAGAATTGATAAACCGGATCAGACCAAACCATGTGGTTTGGTTCAATTCTATGATAGAATGGTTCGGTTTCGGTTCTAAAATTAAAGAATGGTTGATAATGGTTTGCTTCCGAGTTGAGGTAAAATTGAATCAAACTATTAACCTATTTAATATATATTTTACATAAACGTAAATGCACAATTTTTAGTATTAGAGAATAAAATTTACCATGCAGTCTTATGTTATATAATACATAGGATAATCATCTCTCTCTCTCTCTCTATATATATATATATTTCAAAATTTGATTTTTCATTCGATTTATATATATATATATATATATATATATATATATATATATATATCTGTGTGTGTATATTTCAAAAAAAAAAAAAAAAAATTGGCAAGCACAAAGTTATTGGGGGAAAAAAATTATATAAAGAACTTAAGATGTATTCAAATTTTCATTTTCTTACAATTTTTTGATCCACGTGTATCTTATATGAGTTAATCAACAAAAAGTACAAGTAATTTTTTTTTTTTTGATAAGTAAGAAAGAATTTAAAAGAAGCCCTCAAGAGGGGAGCAATCCCAGAAAACAAAAGTCACCCAAGGCAACACGTGTCAGCCACGAAGGGTAGGGACTGCGCAATCACAGTGGCTTGTCACTGATTAGCTTTCCTCATCTGAAACTGTGTTGTTGGTATTGGTAACGAACTAGGGTTCTTTCTCGTATGCATACATATATATCTATATATTTACATTGTCATTACGATATTGCTTGACTTAGGTAGAAAAATGTGGAGCACCAGATAGCCCCTTGCTTCTTTAAGTTCAGTTGCAAGGAAATATCGAGAAAAGGGAACTTGGGTGCTAAATTAACATTTGTTTTTGGCACCAACATTTACAAACTGTTCACCGATTCAAACTTCTTTGTTCAGGTTTGTGTTGCCAAACATAGTTTGAGTTTGCCTCTCTCAAATGATCGAAAAATTTCTTGTTTCTTCAGCTAAATTGGTCTCTATGACCTTATTTTAAGCATTGAGAGTCCGAATCAGAGTCCTTTTGTTTTGGGTTTTGTGAAGTGATGAAGTTCTTTTAAGCCGAAGTTCGGTGTAGAATATGTGTGTGTATAAATGGTCTTCAAAGTTCTATGATTGCTTCATATTGATGTTGCCATTTTGCTATGCAACTACCCAATTGGTTTCAAGACATTTTCCAAAGCTCATTTCACAAGTGACTGGGTGAGTGATATAGTTTTGTTCTTATACACACACACACACACACACACACACACCTTTCACTTTTGGCCAGTTGAGGTCAAATGTGCTTTATAGCGTCAAGGGCACCAAAAGGTGCTTTGGTCAATAAAGTGTGCAAATGGAGTATGCATGACCCTAATTGCTTTAACGCATGTTTTGTGAGTGTTACTGGTCAAATGTATCTTAGTGATCTTCTGTGCTGAATGCGCCAGCTGGTCAATAGCCTCCTACAGATTGACTGGTATAATTGATGCAAAGAGTTCTATCGTTAATTGCTACTTATTTTTTTCAGATATTCCTGTCTATGTAGTGATTCAAATTTGATGTTTAGGCCACTGTGGGTATGATGGTATGAGAAACAACAGATTTGTGGTGTGTTGTTATGTAATGCTATTTCATGCTATAAGAGCACAGGGCTTTGGATTTGTGTTTGTCTTGAGGCCTTGGGGATTTCATTGCCTCTAGACTAACTCACCAGGGTGTTGTTAAAGGCTCCCAGTTTTGATTCTGATGTCATATGAGATTGTGATATATATCATATTTATTATTCCGACACTTTGTTTCAAACTGCCAGTAGTGGAGTCCTTTTAGGTTTGTATCATCATCATATAATTTCTTAGTGCCTTGCTTATATGTTCGTAAGTCTTGAAGTTTTAGGTATAATCAGAATACTTTCTTGCCTTGTGGCGTTATGGAGTACCCTGCAAGAAGCAAAGCGAAATGATGAAATATATTAATCCGAATTCCAGTGTGGAATCTGCGTTACAGTAGCCTTCAAAGTTCTCTGATTGCTTTGCTAGATGGTACAACTTTCTAGGCATTGTTGCACATTGTATTCTTTAGGTAAGATGGTACAACTTTGTAGGCATTGTTGCACATTATATTCTTTAGGTATCAAGTCCCTTTCTGGATGCTTATTTTACAACTCTCTCAGGATTCCATGAAATAGTTCTTGTACTTCGTGTGTGGGGTAGAACTCTTTGCATGTAACTCAAGAGGATGTATCTGAAATCCTAGCCATGCTCTAAGGATCTATAATCTTATTTTATATTATTGTACTGTCGGATACTTTTGAATACGTATCAAGTAAGTGTTCCCCATGTCATTTGTTGTGTTGGTGCATTTTACAGTTTTCTGGTTCCTGATACAAGAAATACTAATTTGCTGCATGGATTACTGGTCCCAGTGTTTTGTTAATTGCATCTTAATCTTGTCTTCACTAAGTTATGAAGAAAGGATTTTGAGCACCAACATGCATAGTCTGTTACTGTATACTCCTTTCAGACTATACGAGCACGGTGCCACAGAAATAATTTTTCTTTTGTTCATCGTGTCTTGTCTCATCTGTATCAAACGTCAAGACCAATGAAAATTTGGAAAAGGACATCCAATTATGACTCTCAAATTTCTTAACTAGGATGTTAGAATCCCATCAATATTGATCCCTTTTATCTATTCATGTTTTTGTATAAAGTTATTGTCTGTCTACTTCAACGAGACATGGTTAGGGATCATTCTGACCGCTTAATAGACATGTTGGATATATATTTGACATGTGCATCGACCAGTGACCATTTCCTTTTGTACTTGTCAAAAAAAAAAAAAAAAAGGACCATTTCCTTTTGTCACATGGGACAGACTCTAAGGCTGCCACTGTATTTTATCTTTTAGAACAAGGAAGTACTTTTAGGTAAGATCTTAAAAAATAGGCCCTTCTTCACTGGATCAAGTTTATACCAATTTTTTACATTTTTTAGCACTCGTAAATAATAACCTGATGTATCATTAATTTGTTATTATTGTTACTGCTGCTGATGTTACTATTGTTGTCGATATTATTATTTCTAATTTAGTTTTTAATGTTAATGCAGCAAAATCCATCCTGTTTGTGTTGACATGTTTTAAGCTTTGAGAATGAGTTTTTGTGATAACCTTGAAGGCTTTGGGGGTTGAATCTTTAGGAGGCATTGTTTGTTGAGCTCGATTAGTGTTTAATTTACCGTATACAAGTTTAAGTGTCTTGAATGACACCTCTTTCCAGCCAACAAAGCTAAGGCAATATATTTCCATTGAGGAGGGACCCAAATTTGTTTGTTTGAAGAAATACTAATTTACTGCATCGATTACTGGTCCCAGTGTTTTGTTAATTGCATCTTAATCTTGTCTTCACTAAATTATGAAAGAAAATAAAGGATTTTGAGCACCAAAATACATAGTCTGTTACTGTATACTCCTTTCAGACTATACGAGCATGGTGCCACAGTAATAATTTTTCTTTTGTTCATTGTGTCTTGTCTCATCTGTATCAAACGTCAAGACCAATGAAAATTTGGAAAAAGACATCCAATTATGACTCTCAAATTTCTTTATTTGGATGTTAGAATCCCATCACTATTGAACCCTTATATCTATTCATGTTTTTGTATAAAGTTATTGTCTGTCTACTTCGACGAAACATGGTTAGGGATCATTCTGACCGCTTGGTAGACACGTTGGATATATATTTGACACGTGCATTGACCAGTGACCATTTCCTTCTGTACTCGTCAAAAAATAAAAAAAATGACCATTTCCTTTTGTCACATGGGACAGACTCTAAGGCTGATGCTGTATTTTATCTTTTAGAACAAGGAAGTACTTTAGGGTAAGATCTTCAAAAATTGGCCCTTCTTCACTGGATCAAGTTTATACCAATTTCTACATTTTAGAGCACTTGTAAATAATAACCTGATGTATTATTAATTTGTCATTATTGTTACTGCTGCTGATGTTACTATTGTAGTTGATATTATTATTTCTAATTTAGTTTTTAATGTTAATGCAGCAAAAGCCATCCTGTTTGTATTGACATGTTTTAAGCTCTGAAGGCTTTGGCGGTTGAGTCTTTAGGAGGCATTGTTTGTTGACCTCAATAAGTGTTTAATTTACCGTATACAAGTTTAAGTGTCTCGAATGACACCTCTTTCCAGCCAACAAAGCTAAGGCAATATATTTCCATTGAAGAGGGACCCAAATTTGTTTGTCTGGAATTTTGCAGGGTCAGGGACATTGTCACTCAATTGAGGCTTACTTCCTTGGCTAGTAGATTTAGTGTCTGATTTCCCTTCAGCTAATCTGTTGAGAGTCCCTCAGAACCCCTCAATGGCTCGAGCCCTTCGTTTGAAGGGCTCATGGCCCCTTTCTACCACACTTCATGCAAGAATGAAATTGGATCCTTATTGTTCAGGTGTGGTTGGGTTGTTTTGTGAATGATCTAAAATACTGATATAGTCAACCTTGTGACTTTATGTTTTCATTAAAGATTTACTGTAATGAATACAGGCATTAACTATATGGTTAATAAAGTTGACTAATTGAATTATTATATTAATATACTAATATAAGTGGGATGATGATTGACACCATTTTTCAGCATTTGCACTTCATTTTTACTTTTTTTTATAATTGAAATAATAAATTATATTTGCTTAGAATTTAATAATTCACAACTAAAAAGAGATAGCTTTGTAATTGGAGACTTGAGAGTCTTTGAATTTCATGTTTAAAGTTGCGATTGGATCCATTCATTAAAAAGAATCGATTTAATACATTTCTTATGTACCCATAGATGCTATATTGGATTTGAATCAGATTTCGGATCAATCTATATTGATTGACTGCCTCCATTATGTTGTTACTTGCAAGTACCACTATTTTTGGTTTTGGATCTTCCAAATCATCCCTGCAGGAGATCCAGACCCATTTTTGTTTTCTGATACTTCGATAAAAAGATTCATTTTTCTTCATAAAAAAATAGGAGGTAGAACCAATAAAGTTTTCTTTTTAGATTCATCCCTGGAGTTGAATACCTCATTCAAGAATTGTTTTTGATGTCCCTTCTCTATTATTGGTGTCATATCTGTGAATCCGGATCCCCTCCAACGGAAGGGATCTTGTGCCTTGGTCATGTGCATTGTCTAGATTGCTGGTGCAATGCACTATATAAAAGCTGTTGTCGTAGTGCATAAGCAATGTGAGTTGTTTCATGATCGATCTAATGACAAAACGGCACAAGATGAAATGACATAATAGAGGATCAGGTTCCGTATATGTGGTTGCTGGTTTATTAATAGTTTGCTACAAAGATTGAATTTATTGGCACTTCAAATTTTTGTGATCCTACTATTACTCAAATACTATACATACAAAGGGCCCCATTTGTTACTAACTCCGTTACTTGTCTATTCATTCATACATGCCAAACATAAACAGACCTGACCCCTCTACAGTCACCTCCACTAGCGTGGAAAATACAACAATGGGGAATCATAATCCACGCCCCTTTTATCATCAATCACTCATATTTATTGCCATTACATAAAATTTTATAACTAAAGTTTATTCATACTCTCTCTTTCTCTAATTATTTTGGTCCTTGAGATGAGCTCCACGGCCACCGTTGGCCTTACCATAGAGAGAGAGGTGGACACCAGGATCACGGTGAGTGAAAGAACTGTCCAAGAGAATGGAATTGTTCACACCCTGCACGTTGCTGTTTATGAATGCAGTCTTCAATGGCCACACCAGTTTGTCAGGTTTGTCCTCCATCTTTACGTTGATCCCTTCATCATTACTATTTCTTTCTGATTTTTTACCATCTCTGAGCAGACCACGATGGCCCAATTCCATAATAGCACCTCTGTTTTGACCTGCAAATGTTATAACTCTCACCCCAAAATCTTTGGAGTCCGAATACGTCTTATAAAAACCTTTGTTATCATTGGAGGTGTTGGGAATGATCACTTTAGGTTCTTCAAAGGTTTCTTGCATAATTATAGTTTTCTGCTCGGATTTTGATGGAATCTTGGTTTCGGGTTTGCCTTCAAACTTTATTTGTGCAGGAGGAAGGACCAGAGGAGATGTTGGGTTTCTAGAAACAGGCTCCATCTTGGGGGATAGAGGTGAGGTTTTTGCCAAAGGGCTGATGATTTTTGGGGAGGATGTTGGTGTGGCAGCACGAGCATTGACAGTGGTGGTGGCGGCAGCAGCAGAGATAGAAGAAGGTGGTGCCGGTGGTGACATTACTTTGTGGGCTGGAGAAGTGGGCAATGAAGAAGCTGAAAGTACTTTTTTGTTGGGAGATGGTGGTGTTGAAGAGGAGGATGCAACTGGAGGAACAACTGGGGATTTTGGTGATGGTTTTGGTGCTGGAGACGTTGGCAAAGAAGATGAAGAAGCGGAAACTTTGATGATTGGAGATGACGGGACAGAAGTGGTGGCAGGAGGTGGTGCAGCAACAGGAGAAGGTTGTGGTGATGGCAAAGCAATGGCAGCTGGAGGTGCAGCAGCTACAGGTGGTGCTGGAGGTTGGGCAGGTGCCTGAGGCTGAGCTACTGGGGGCGGCCTAAGTGTGGGTCGGACAAATGGTGGCCTTGGCTGGCGAGCAGGTGGTTGAGCCTGCGCTAAAGGTGCTGGGGCTGGGGCTGTGGGGCGATTCATAGAAGCTGATCGGAACCATGGACGAGCTGGTGCTTGCTGATTTGCCATAATATATGTGATACGATGAGTTTAGGCGGTGTATTTCAAGCAAGTTGTATGTATAAGCAAACAACCAACTTAGACTCACATTTATAGTTAATAGACATGGGTGCTAAACAAGCCAAAGCAGCTGGGAGGCATCGGATTCACCAAGCACCTACAATTAAGTCAAAATCTCAATAGATTGGCATCAAGTATGGGCTGGAGTCTTTCATTGATGAAGGGTAAAAGACTAGTGAATTGCGTTTTATCTTGGCCCTTAAGACATAAATTAATGGTTTTCTAAGTATTTTATTAGACCAATTTCAACTTTTGGCCCTAAAGCATAGACACTCTAAAGTTTTAAATATTATTCTCATTTTGTAAAATATAGTCGCAAACCTTGAGCTCGAGTGCGCATATTGTGCATGAGCGTGTCTGCACATTCTATGAACCGTTATTTTTGAAGAGTTTAATGTGCTAATTGCGGCTTCTAGGTACAAGAGCTACGCATTAATGAACCATCAGAGAATTGTGATGCCATATGTTTTTGTGCTTATGGAGGCGCCTATTAGATTCATGTGATCTCTAATATACGAGTTGGGCACGTCATGTCACACTTTTGAAATGATGCATTGTCATTGGTGTGTATACAAAGGACGAGACATGCAAGGCGCACTCAATATACATAAAGAATAACCAAAAGGGTTGATGTTTCCAAATGGGTTGAAATTTACAAAAAAAAGTTAATGTTCTTGGAGTGATGCTCACAAAAGGATATTCTGACGCAGAAAAATCTAAATGGCCTAGAAACTTTGCAAAGCTTAAGCCCAAGCTGTGGGTCGGTCTTGATGGCTGGACAACGGACCACCGAGGGCCTGGGCTTTGATCTAATTGGGCCTCCAATTGTGACTTAATTCTATGATTAAATCGGGCTAATTTAAAGTTTAATTGAGCCGGGGAGTTTAAGTGGGGCTCTAATTCCACTATAAATTAGTTTGATAACAAGTCTACAATTGAGGTTATTTTGAGCAAAATAGGGCTTAGTAACAATAATCACATGCTAGTGATAATATAATAATATATCTATGCCATTATTAAAATTGGAGATTATTACATATAAATGGTGCTAATGACTCGTATTTATCATTTGATGGAGTCAAAGTCTCATAGTTTCAAAAAAATGAAAACAAGAGTCAAAGTCTTATAGTTTCAAAAAAATGAAAACAAGAAAAAACATTGTTTACCTTCACTGATGTACCACTTTTAGACGCATGTGTATCACTTTTTGTGTATGCAGGTACCACTTTTTGTCATTGCTAGGGGTGCACATGGTTCGGTTCAGTACGGTTCTTGCTGGAATCGAAACCGGAATCGGTCTGAACGGTTCCTAAAAAATGGAACCAGAACCGTAAGCAGTGGAACCGTTGACCAAACTTAGACCGTAAGGAGAGGCTGAGAGGAGAGGCGAAGATCTGAGTAGAAGTGATTGAATCAGAGGCTGAGACAGTCAAGTAATTAAACATCATCACTCACGTCTTAACTACTGTCTCCAATTATGGCAATTTTGCCTCAACTCACTCTTGCCATAAAATGTTGTCGATTTTCGAGCACCGCCTCCATCTCCGATCGACTTTAGTCACCGATCATTGGTCACAAATGCTGACGTTCTCACCGATTTTCTCGAACACTCTCTCCGTGTTCCGGACCTCATTTTACTGGATCAAGTCTTCCCTAGCCAAAAATCGATAGAAAACCCTCCTAAAATTGACTTAATTAAATCAGAGGCTGAGACAGAGACCGATCTGACCGATCCAACTGAATCCACTAAATTAGAGGCTGAGAAGAGAATCGAGAGTCGCGAGTCTGTGATCTGAGAAGATAAAGACCAGTGAGAGGGCCGAGAGGCTGAGAGGAGAGGCTGAGAGGAGAGGAGGGGAGGCGGAGCCACCGAGTGAGTTTTAGAGGTTAGGTAAAGTAGTGAACCTAAAACTTAGGTTTAGGTTTTGAGAGTTTTGTGACTTTTGATTTTTAATATTTTATCCAATATATGATAATCCGAATTCTGAAATGAATACGTGGATGATTGGATGTGGTCACTTCGAAACTTACAGGCTAGACAAGGCTCAGTCGGCCATAGCCCATAGTCCACAGCCCACAAATATAATTATATATATATATATATATATATTACGGTTCGGTTCGGTTCAGGAACCGAACCGTGAGACTGGAACCAGAACCAGAACCAAACCGAATCTAAACTGTTCCTCATTTTAGGAACCGGAATCGAAACTGTGAGAACTGGAAATTTGGTTTCGGTCCTCACGGTTCCAGTTCCACGGTTCTTTTGTGCACCCCTAGTGATTGCAAAAAAAAGTGGTACCTGATGCACAAAAAGTGGTACCTCTATGTCCAAAACAAAAGTGGTACCTGATGCACAAAACAAAAGTGGTAGCTACGTGCCAAAAAGTGGTACCTCAGTGAGGGTAAACAATATTTTTCTATGTCCACATCAATATTTTCGTCAATTTCATTTTTTTTTTTGAAATTATGAGATTTTGACCCATCAAATGATAAATATGGATCACTAATACCATTTATATGTAATAATTCCTTAAAAAAGTGTAGATTTTTTTTTTATTTTTTATATACATTTTTAATAATATTTTAAAATTTTAATTTAATATAAGAAGATGGGTAACCAAAAAGTCCTACAGTTACACCCTTACGAAAAATGTCTCTATCTGACAAGTTTTAACTAAATTACGAATTTGATATATGAGATCATCTAATCGGCACACACACCCGATGCATGAACCAAAAAACAATGTTGATACCTTCGCATTGGTGGCAACATGCAATGTTTTTCATTTCTTGTGATGAGAAGGATGTCTTGCCACAATATTCTTGGTGAGTTTGGAATTTTTTTTTTCTTCTTCCTATTTTCTTTGAATTCCTGTGAGATTTTCGATAAATTCTCACAAAATAATTTGTTTCTTTTACATGGTCTTTATGAAATCATGTTTTTTTTTTTTTTTTTTTTTTTTTTTTTTTTTTTTTTGTTTTTGTTTTTGTTATTTTTTTTTTTTTTTGCCCCTTTTTAAGAATGATGGTTTCTTTCCCTTGCTAGTAGAGATATACTGATGTACTTGTAATTAGTGTTGGCTGTAGTTTCAAACAACTAAATAATTTCTAAGTGAAGAGAGAAGAAGAATGAAGAAACAAATATTTTTCTGTATTGTATTGAATTCTTTGTTGTGTTGATATATCTTAACAACAAATCACTTACACCATCTCTGTTTTGTGGAACAACTAATAGAATGCATCATTTCCACTTTGTTTTGCCGAACAATTAATAGAATGTAGCTACATCTTTCCTTTTGCCACACAAACCTCTCTGATGCTTCTCTCTCTGATGCATCTCTCAATGCATTTATCATTGATGAGATATGGTAGTTAGATTTTAACCCTATAAAACCTAACTCTCCATACTTTGTATAACCACAACCAAAACGAAGATGGAGAGGAAAACTAACCCATCTCCTCCACCACCAGTCCCCCCACCTCAAACAACCACGGCTGAGACTGATAATGAGTTTGATATGAACCATCCTAACTTTCCGAATACCATCATGGGTAAGTTGACCCGTGTCATCAAGAAGATGCAGATGATGGAGAAAGAACTACGCTGGGTGGAACGTCGCTTAGCAGACCTGGAAAACGAGCTCGATAATGCCCTCAGCAACGAGCTATTTCCTCTGTGACGACCTTGGTTTTTAAGCCAGCGCGTCCTGTGATGAACCGAAGATTGACCCGATAATGGATCCGATATGCGGAAGCAAAAACAGAAAACAAGACTCTAAGAAATCAAAATGACCTTCCATGAGGTCGTAGAACTCAATGAGAACTGACGCGGAAGCAAAAGACCAAAAATATGACAAATAAGCCCCCAGGGGCAAAATAGTCATTTTTGAAAACTATAGATTCGGGTGCCACCGAGCACACCGTTGGAAGGACAACGAAAAACTAATCAAGATGGACTCAAGAATCGCATGATTCGGAGTCCGAACGAATGAGAAACGGCATGACGAAGAAAAACGAGCACTTAAAGCAAAAAGGGTAAAATGGTAATTATCCAGGAAGAACCAGGTGCAACCGAGCATACCGTTGGAAAGACAGCGAAAAATTAGTCAAGTTAAAAAAAAAATTCACTTAAATCGGAGTCCGGACGAAGGAGAAAAGCCCAAAAGAAGAATTGACGTCGCGGAGGCCCGACGAGGGGCCATGGCGCACACGGCGCCCATGCGCGAGCCCACCGGCGTGCATGCCAGCGCTCAAAGACATGGCTGGTGGCAGCCCTTGGCTGCTGCTACGTTTTTTTTGATCTGCCCAGAACTGAGGCTTGAAACGGAGGTCAAGACGAGTTTTTCTGGAAAAACACGAAGAAGAAACCCCGCCTAAAATTGAGTTTTCTACCCGACAGCATGGACAGAATCGAAAAAAACTCACTGTGAAATCCCGAAAATGCCCCTAGATTAGAACTGAGCAAGAGGGTCATAAAGCTGCTAAATCAAAATTGGAAGCTGAAACTTCAAGAGGGATTTCCAGTACCAAGACGACATTTTCTGGAAAAACACGAAGAAGAAACCCCCCCTAAAATCATGTTTTCTAAGCGACTATGTCGAAAGAAGAAAATAAAACTGAGGTGAAAGGTCCATAATGCCCCTAGATTAGAATATGCAAAAAAATACGAAATGAATTCACAAGAGGCTCAAAACACAAACGATGAGGTTTTGCCCGGAAACGACTATGCACGCAAACGTAACTTACCTATTTAGATGCACTACAATGGTCCATGGCTTAAAAATATAACCGATGCAAAATCCGACCCCCCAACGGGCAAAAAGGCAAAAATAGACTTGGAATGGAAAACATGGAATCCAAAAATGAAAAACGGGATCAAATGACCGTTTGGCCCTTGGCCACACTTCATACAAGATTAATAAGAC